TTTGATCCTGTAATTGAGCGCTGCTAACTTCATCCTGGACATCCGGTGAGGACGTTTTTCAGCACAAATGTATAGAACCTTGTTTGAATGTTTATGACTCATAATCGTTTACTTTTCAGATTTGTAATTCTTAACTTAGCATTGACGAATCAACAGTTTTTTTTAAAAAGTCAACCTAATATGAGTTGATAATGCACATTGGTTGATTTAATTTTGAAAATTGTGTATCGTAAAAAATACAACAACCGCTTAGATTGTGTTTAAATACAATAGAATTAATAAGTCACGCTGCGCGTACTGTATCTTTTCCAACAAACTTTGTTATAAACGTAATACAAAAATACATATTTTTTTAAAAATAAAATAAGCCAGTAGATGAAATCAACTGATATTTTAATATTCTGATAAAATTTTTTTCAATGATTTATATAGTGTAATATATCAGTCCATTGTTATTACGAAATTAATTCTCCATGCCAACAAACCGATATTATTTATATTTCGTAAATATTCTCGTACAATTTTGAATATTAATTGAATTAGAATTAACGATTATTTTGTATGTATTATTTGCAGCGTCTCATAAACATCGATTGCTGTGTGGTTTAGTCTATTTTATTTTTGGTTGGTAGAACACTACACGTCAGTCTTAGAACGAGTGACAATTGAAATTGACTGACGGGCGCACTGCATGCTTAATTTTGCATGGGCAGAGTGGTGTGGTTTGTGCATGTCAAAAAATCTGCATGGTGTGGTTCACCGCTACACGCTCTGAGTGATCCATTAGCTCTCTACGTGTATGTGTGTGTGTGTGCGAATGTGTGTGTGTGTGCGAATGTGTGTGTGTGCGCACGAGTGTAGCGTATGCGCGCATGTGTGTTTATTTATATAAATACACACTCTCTTACATATATATATATATATGTATATACACGGTGTTTATAAAATTCTTGTTTGTTTCATCGAAGACTTCATAACATTTCTAATCGATTTGAAAGCTCATACCACATGAATATCTTAGTTCAGTTTATCTATTGTATTAATAATATTGGTTCTTCGTTCGTTTCTGCGTAGGTACGTTACACTTTCGTGGTGTAATGGTTAGCAAGCTTGTCTCGTTAAAACAATTACGACTGAATAGTGAGTTCGATCCTCGTAGGGGGCCCCATACTATCGGCCTTGTGCCACATCTAAGCTTAGAAAATCAATACATTAGTGTAGAGAGCATAAGTTTATGCCTAACAATTCCGCTGCTGTAGATGTATTTATACATCTTTATGAAACTTACATTGCCTACTTTGGACGCTTTTAATCAGTGTAGTGATATGTAAATGACTGCCTAATTAGCATAACTAAGGCATAGACTATATAAATGCCCAAGCAGTAAGGGTAGAGTAGCTCTCGGTATGCGAGTATCTCGGCGACTTCCGCTTTGGCGGATATCGCCCAGTTTTGACAAAATAAGGATCGTTTCTCGGCCTTTGGCTGAGATTCGATCACGGCTACGACTAGTTTGGACTGGCTTCGGCCTGGACTAGCTAAGACAAGCCATGACCAGCGTTGACTAGGCTCTGACCAGCTTGGACATGCTAAGACCAGTTTTGGACCTTTTGGCCCTTTGAGTGGAAACACTCGGGTCTCCCACGTTAAACCGACCTTGTGTCACATCCTGACCCTGTGGGAGTCGGGTAAATACCCTCGGTATGCGAGTATCATGTGCTGAACGGCAGATGGAATCTTTTCTCTGCTAATAATATTCATTCAAGCCCCAGGGGCCATCCTCCGTCAACAGGATCTCTCTCTCTCTCTCTCTCTCTGGAGGGGACTGGATTTATTGAGGTGTCCCTAAAGTGGGGAGAAGCTGAGGAGGCTTGGAAATTTTTCTGCTTTATCGCCGTTAAATCCACTTTAAACTGACCTTGTGTCCCATTCGGTAGCGACGTGGGCGCACTAAAAAATCAATCACTCGGTATGAGAGTTAAAAGACTACAGCTAGACAGATAAAATGCGAAGGAAATCCCACCCTTCTGTCTGTTCTGTTCACTTTGACGTGGTTTGATGATTAAGCAAGCTTGTCTCGCTGGATCAATTACGACTGTATAATGAGTTCCATCCTCACTGGGTACCCTATGCTTTCGGTGTTGTGCCACATCTAAGCCACGCTTAGAAAACCACTGTGACGGTCAGTCTCTAGCATTTGTGTCATAAACTAACTTATGCTTAGTGCTATTTTATAACCAGCATCGAAATAGAGTAGCGGACAATGCGGCATATTTTATGCCGTATTTTTTTTTTTATTATAGTGAGTATTGGGCTGTCAATTGACTTAGTTTGTACTGCAGGGAAACCGATAGTCATTAGTATATATTTATTCCTTATTTTTCTCAGAAACTGGCCCGCACGGACGGCCAACAATGCTATAATAATGCATCAGTGAAAATGTTAAATAATAACAATCTATATGATGAGGAAACAGGCATGGTCAAGCGGAAGTGACAAAATTCTCAATAGCAATTTAAAGCGGAAGAAGAACAGGTCAAAATAATCAGAAGAGAATCTAATGCAAGGCAAAACAAATCAAGTATAAGACAGTAAAATGTTCACAAAATAGAAATCGTGTTCACACGCAAAATGGATACAATGAAATGGTTATAGGTTTTGAATTCAAGGTTTGAAAGAAAAAATGTATGAGTATAACACTAGAATTGTCCGTTTTAATTGGTCCGGAAGAAATCCATTATGTCAGCTGTAGGATTTGTCTATAAATTTTTGAGAGGAAGGATTTTTGGGAGGAAGGATTTTTGGTAGTCATCCCACGAAAATGATTTATGTAATGACATTTTTATGTCATAGGTGTTTTTGCAGGATTTAGGTTAATATGTAGTATTGTGGCATATGCTGGATTGAATGGTGATGGATGACTTCTTATGATGAATGAGTAAATTGTTATGAATGAATAGGTCGTGAATCTGATTACATAGGTTTAGAATAGTTGGTGTGGACCAGCCTCACCCCACTTCCACTTCGGTCTCGTGACAAAATTCTCAATAACCATTTGAAGAAGGAGAAGGACAGGTCAAAATAATCAGAAAAAAGAGAAAGTAATACACGAAAAAGCAAAGAAACTACGAGAATAACAAAGTAAAAAAATTCGCAAAATAGATATAGTGTTCACACACAAAAGGGATATAGTCAAATGGTTTAGTATTCTGACTTCAAGTCAAGAAAGAAAAGATATTTCCCATGCGACCTCGTAGGTTGTGAATTATTTTCCACCCCACAACCCCCTATTCACAGACCCAACTTCATAAGTTCATTGTTATTTCCATAGAAAATGTTCTGACGTATTTAGTTCCACCAGCTCAGATTTTCTAAGCTAAGACTCGCCATACCATACACACAGGGGTGAAGCAATTGTCATTCTGTTTGTTTTCCATTTGGACAACTTCTTACTAAGAGTCATTGCTTTGTGAAACAAACTCGAAAAGATGCTTCACTGACTAATACAATCTTAACTTCTTTAAGTTTAGTGTCAATCGTTACCTATTCTATATATCTCCATAATCTAAAATTCTTACACTATTTATATTCGGACTATTGTGTCCATCTTTCTTGTTTTAATCACATTTTGGTTGTTGTGTCCCCGGTGTATATGAATCTGAGCAATCTGCAGGGAATTTCAAAGTGAACCCTTTATTTAATCTACGAGGGTAGACTGTTCTCGTTTCACTGCTCATGTCTAATTCTTGTGTTATTTAGGACTGTAGAAGGGAAAACAGCTTATCTCCGGGAACAAAACGCGCTCGTACGTGTCTCGCGTGCAAAATTCGTAAAAGAAAACATGGCCGATGCTAAAGGTAAAAATGAAGAACTTGATCTCGTAGCTCAGAGATTTTGCGAAACGAATTTGTGGCTTATGCAAATTTCCGAGCCTCAGCCACTCGATAAAATGAGCATGAGCGAAAGAACATCACAGGCAGACGAAACGAGACACACGTCATACTTTTTGTGTGGATTTTCGCGGTAGTTTCACCGATTGCGATTGAAAAGAAGTCAGGATACAACTCGTACTCTAACCAGCCGTACTTTTTTTGCTACAAGTACTGTTCAGTTATTGCTCGCCCGTTTCCACCGAGTACAAGGGATTGAACTCAAAACTACTCTGTCACCAAATTAAAAAAACAACGCTTTTACCCACTAGACCATGGTAAATCAATAAATAATATAATTAATAATAAACCCTCATCCGAGAAGTTCGGACATACAATCCCATTCAATAATCCTCTACCACAAGTGACTCTTGGGTCTTGTTTTGTATGAACACTAGTGGAAAAATGTCGATGGCTTATCCGGCAGCAAGATCTCTGATCAGGAGATTGCAGGTTATGACAAACGTGAAACCACCTCTTGACTACTGCTGTTCCCAGGTCCACCCTGACTCGGTGTGGTAGCACCTGTTAGGGTCCCAGCTATGAGTAAATAGTGAGCCCTCAAACACTATGTAAGTATAAAAATACATTTTATACTAAAAATACCAGCAATATATTATTACATAAAAAATTACCAATGATATAGTAAAATTACCAACAATAAATTTATAGCAAAATGACCAACAATATATTTTATCTGTAAAACTATGCTCAAAATATTTAGATTCAAAATTTTGAATAACCTATAGAGGTTGATATGCCGCTAAAGAAATTAAAAAAAAAAAACGATAGTAAACGGGATAAATTGTAAATGCTCGAGAAATACTTGCTGAATTATGAAACAGTGAAATTCCAGTTGTTTTTACTGGTCAGTAGTCTTTCGACGTCTACGTTGAAATGAAAGGAAAACAATTATAAAATATATATTATATATATATATATATATATATATATATATATATATATATATATATATATGTGTGTGTGTGTGGGCAAAAAGCCTTTAGAATATTTTTTTATCTCATTTTTGTTTGACTGATTCCAATTCGTGTCTCTTCTTACCTTTGGTAGCAATGTATGCGAACAAATCTGAAAGAACACCAACTGGTTATGGCAAAGACTATGAATATCGGGTACCTGAAGAAATTGTCCAGGTAAGTTCCTAATATTCTTGGCTATATATGACTGCTACTGCTGATGCAAATCTTTTCTATGAACTGAGCACTCAGAGTCACTGGCGTGGTTATTCTAAAATAAATACATAAAAATTCACCTTCCTCTCAGCTCCGACTGATACCAAATCAGTTGGGTTTCGATCCTGGCTATCGGATGTCCAGCTACACTGGTGAGCTGTGATACCGCGAAACAGTCTGTAGATGAGATATAAATGTAAAAGACAATAGGAAAGCTGTAATATTAGCCGACAAGTTAATTCTGGGAAATTAAAAAAAAATTTTTTTTTTATATTTATTTATTTATTTATATATATATATATAATTATTTATATATTTCTAAATATATAATTATTTTTATATTTTAAAATATTATATATATATATATATATATATATATATATATATATATAATGGGGAAACAAATATTCGTACACATACAATTTTTTAATTTATTGTATTTCCAACTAATGAATAAACATACCTTTTATATAATTAACTGTACACAGATAAAAACAGAAAAAAAATTGATTTTAATAGAAATAAATCCCATTTATCCATTTTACTGGGTGAAAAAAGTATTCGTACAATACAAAAAGAATGCATAACCTTTTTATTTAATACTTTGTATAATAACCATTATTCACTTCTACAGCAACCAACTTCTTGTAGTTCTCAATTAATGATTTGCAAATTTTAGTTGGTATTTTGTTTCATTCTTCTTCGCATATGGTCTTCAAATCCGGGATGTTTGTTGGAGCTCTCGATTGGATTTGAATTTTCAAATAACACCACAAATTCTCGATTGGGTTTAAATCTGGAGACTGACTTGACCATTTCAGGATATTTACATTATTTTCAGCAAGCTATTTCTTCGTAGATTTTGCAGTGTGCTTAGGATCATTATCTTGTTGGAAGATCCATCAGGAGGGGGTTCAAGATTTTCAACCGAAACCATTAAATTTGCTTCCAAAATATACTGCGGCATTCATTCTACCATTTATTACTGATATATTGCCAGTACCTTTTGCAGAAAAAACATCCCCAAACAATAATCCTGCCACCACCAAACTTCACTGTTGAAACTGTGTTCTTTTGTTTTAAGGCATTGGCATTTTTTCTCCATACATGATTTCTAGAACTACGTCCAAGCAACTCAATTTTGGTTTCGTCTGTCCATAATATACTTTTCCAATACGATTTTTCCTTATCCTTATGTTCACGAACGAATTTCAACCTGGCATCTCTTTGCCTTTTCAATAGCAATGGAGTTTTCCGAGGGGAGCGTGATTTAGATTGTTCCTATGAATTTCACTGCTTATTGTCCGTTTAGTTACACAGACACCTGATGAAAGCAAATCTTTCTGCAACTCTTGACGAGAAACTATTGGATTTTGTTTAATTTGACGGATTAATTTCCTCGAAGATCTTGAAGAAATCTTCCGTGAAGCACTTATTCTTCTTTGGCTTTCAACACTTTTGAAATTTTTATACCTTGCAATGAATGAACTAATGGTAGTAAATGTAATATTCAGGTCGTCTGAGATTTTTCTGTAACTTACCTTCTTTCCAGAGTTTAACAATCAATTCTTTTTGCGAATTTGTCAATTCTTTACCTCTTGCCATGATGATAATCTTCTTATACGAATATCAATTACAGAATTTCTGTTTGTATTTTTATGCTAAAAATAACTACTGATGATATTATTGAAACATTCTAGGATATTTCAATTGAATAATCTAGAGTATTAAAGCAATTTAAATGTTTTAAAGTCTGAAATTTGCATTGTACGAATATTTTTTCACCCAGTAAAATGGATAAATGGGATTTATTTCTATTAAATCAATTTTCGTGTTTTTTATGCATATTTAGATATTATGCCTCTGTGTACAGTTAAATATATGAAAAGTATGTTTATTCATTAGTTGGAAATACAATAAATTAAATTTTTTTATGTATACGAATATTTGTTTTCCCCCACTGTATCAATAAATAAAAGGTTTGTCACTTAGCTAATTGATGTAACCTCAGCATCCCGATTCCAGATTTTCATAGGTTGACCCGTCCGTCCACTTGTCATGGGGCATCAGCAATTTACTGCTTATACTTCTCGATTTTTCTTTTTTTAATTGACTTATCATTGGTGCAAGGTTCTTTTTTTTTTTTTTTTTTCATAATGTATGTGTGCGTATGTGCGTTCGCGCGAATGCGCCCGTCTATGCGGATGTGCGTACGTGTAGGGCGTCGTGATTATTTCTCCTTTTCGTTGCTTTTTTTTTCTACTTCACACTCACTCCTTAACCGTTTCTCTCTTTTTTTTCTCCTTTCAATTGTTGCCATTTGGATTCCGGTTTTTCCTAGACAGGCTGTCGTTTTTAATTTTTGAGCGTTGTAGTCTTTTCTTGAGTTAGGAAAACTGTATCTCATTTTTTACATAAAGAATTAATTTTAATTCTTAAATGATAAAATAAGTATTTAAATGTTGGTTCACTGTGTTGTGCTTGACAAATTTTCTCTCCAGAATCTATCTTACATATCTATAAGTCTACCATTCGTCCTTGCATAGAATATTGTTGTCACATCTGGCCTGGTGTTTCTATTATTTAAAAATTCCAACAAAGAATCTACAATGTTATCGGTCATAACCTGACATCTCGGCTTCAGTCCACCGCCATAATGTAGATTCCCTGTGCCATTTCTATAAATATTTTCATGGCAACTGAGCTAATGAGCTTTCCTCTTTGATACCTTGACTTAACGAATTTAAGTGCAGTAATAGATTGATTGAAATGGCTAGATGTAACCGTAAGTTCTATGCTGACAATTTATTCTCTCGCACTTCTCGCTTGGGGAAATCTTTTTTTTCTGGTTTCTTGCTTTCCAATCAACTTTGATCTTCAAAAAAATTTAAACGCAATGTTAATCGTTATATTCTGTCTTCTTAATTCATGTCCATTTATTGTTCTCTCTCGTATTCTCATATTTCTTTATCACTCAGTAAACCCCTTGCGTCTTAGTGGCTTTATTGTCTTGCTTGTGGTGAAATGATTAAATATACATATGACGACTGAATATAACATCAATCATTGACAAATAAGTGACAAATTACATTTATTTGTATATATATATATATATATATATATATATATATATATATATATATATATTCTGGCCATGAAGATCGCGTTCAAGTATAAAACAGACTGTCGCCACTCGATTTTAAAATCAGTGTCCACTTTTATATTTACATACTATCCCTGATATTTGGCACTTTAACACATAAATATAGCATACCTAAAAAACTATATTTTATTATATATATATATATATATATATATATATATATATATATATATATATATATATATATATATATATATTGTGTGTGTGTGTATAATCAGTCGTATATTTTAATATAAGTTAAGTATTATTAAATGAATGTACTTCGTTTTCAGATGTCAGAGGCAGATTATCAAGCCGAACAAGCCAATAAATTTGACAGCCCGGTAGAACAACAACGGAATTTAAGGGCAAAGGTATACTTATTTACTTTTAACTTATTTACTACTATTAACGCGCAAAAGTATTGTTGTATATTACTTTAGGGTAGGTATCTTTAATAATTCGCTGAAAAAACACCATACCTTGGCGAAGAAAGGCCACAAACTTAAAAAAAAGTTTTATCGTCAAATTGTTTATGTTATTATTAAATGGAAACACACAAGTATTTTTTGGTTATTTTAATAATATTTGAATCCTTTCTAGCACGTTCAAAATTTTAGTTAAAAATCTTGTTTTTCTTGCATCAGCAAAGATTAATATAGGAAATTTTAGCGTCTTTTTTGCGGTAAAATACATAGATTTGGAAATTCTTGCAAAAACCAAATAATTGTTGGATTTTAATGAAATATTTTTGTTTAGAAAATATCGGTAAAAAAACTTATTTTACCTCCTTACTTAATGAAATTTCGAGAAATTAAAATTCCACCCTCTTCATATTTATATTAGTTAAAAGCAGGACTCCTTGGAGAATTGAAATCATACTTTTTTTTTCAAACGGAAACATCATTTACCGAAAATCTACTCTGAATCGTAAAATAACAAAATGCAATAAAACTAAGACATTATGGAATTAGAAAGGCTTTTAATTGCTTTTATAAATAAACAAAATTCAGTTCACTATTGTCTTAAGAAAAAAATTTAGATGAATAATACATTTTTACAAGAATTGTCTTTATTTTTTAAAATTTTAATTAATTTTAATTGGAATAATTTATTAAGTTTGAAATCAATTAAAATTTTGTATTAATTCCACTCTTTTAAATGAAATAAAAAACTATATTTACAAATTATAAATGGAAAAGCCTAGTACTAATCATCAAACAATAATATTTTTTTTAAGAATTTTGAATTTTTTCGTGTATAAGTGTATCGTCTTTTTATATACGGACTACCATACACGACATTATCAGAAAATAAGAGCAATAACTATAGCAAAATATTAAATAAAAATAGCCAAAAATATTTAAAATTGAATAACACATCAGTTTATAGAGAATATTTTGTTAAATTTTAAAGATTACCGAGTATTTAAAAATTATATATAAAGGCGCTCACGTTAATTCAGTTACTTTTTTAACACCTAAGGCCTCCATAGAACAACGTTAGATAGTTGTCAAACCCGTCAATACCTTAAATAAATAGGTACTGTCAGGTTTTAAAAATGTATTTCTGTGGTATTTTAAACTTAAAGTAAATAATATTTGTTTAAAATCAAATGTATTATAGTTTATATCAGCTAATATTTCTCAAATAGAGTTTCAGAAAAATATATTTTATTTTTGGAAGATTTTTTAATAAAGAGAATTACATTGCGATAAAAGAAGAGACTAAAAGAAACACTCATTAGCAATTTAATCCCAAAATTACTTCCAGTCAATTTAAATTAGTTTTAAACTAGTTTTTGAAATACAAATAGTTTGCTTATTGGAAATATTAAATTTAATCTATTAGCTTGAAATTAAAATTAAAATAAAAGCTTCATGAAAAAATTTTCATTTTAAAAATTCATTTTAAAACTTAGGTATCGCATTTTCTGTGGTGGTACTGTTGCGGAATTTATGCTAAGTAAGATGTGTCAGAAGGGGAAATTGTGTGAAGGCCTAAAATGTGCGTGTACATAATGCATTTATTCACAACATATAAATTAAACGAACATTTCAAGACAAAACAACTTGAAGAAATCAAGGAAAAAGCAACGAAGTTATAGATTTCAACAATAACATGAATTTATATATATATATATATATATATATATATATATATATATATATATATGACATACATAAAGTGATGTGACATACACAAAGTGATGATAGGTTGCTTGTTAAATGTGGCAAATGAGATAAGATTGCAAAGAGTGTCCATGCAGAGATTTGGTGAGTGAATGTTGATGGTTTAAGTTTGTGAAATTAAAACAGTTTGATTTCTGCAAGGTAAAATGTCAATTGTATGAGTTCAAATAATAGCGTGTGTGTGTGTGACAATTGTAAGTGTTGATTCAAGTTAGGAAGAGTTGTGTGTCTTTGACTGATGTGCTAAAATTGATTAAATGTACAATTAGTATTTCGTAGTGATAATGTCACTTTTTTAGTAAATTGTAAGTTAAATTTCTTCACGCAGCAATAGTAGTGCGAGTTTTGTTGAGTTGATGAGAGGCTGGTAGTGTTATTGAGTCAGCGTGTTGGCACGCGTGAGGTCTGCGGACATCTCTCGAAACTCAGTGTCTGACTGACTTGAATTAAGTCGAGCGATTCTTTTTATAGATTTTTGGGCTTTCAAACAGGCTCCAGACAGTTGTGCGGGAAAAAAGATTTGTCTCAACTTGCTACATTTTTGTGTCCTTTTAACCAATGGGAAGTTGAGTTTGGAAAAGTGAAGTGATGATTGGTTAAAGGTTAATTTGGGGAAGAGTGCATTTTCCCGTAGGGGGTGACAGGCAAGTATGGAGGATTCCATAGTACTACTTTACGGGGAAAGACTGGCTTGTAACCTGCAGTAGCTCCAAAACCAAGTTAGTAGCGTTTCATCATCACCGAGTAGGAGCCTAATTTTTCTCCAGCCCTGATAAACGGTTACATCCACAATGAGGCTGTTTACCTTGAACGTGTAACGTAAGAGCAAACGTCTTTTGAGACTCAAGATCACCCGAGATCTCAAATGGAACTCATATGTACGAAACATCGCTAACATCTATCTTTGATTTGCAAATAACTTGGATTGGTAATGTTGTTTACGTGACAATGAGCATATCTGTTCTTTTCCCGCTTTTTATACGTCCTGTTTAATCCACCACCATTAACAACTGCTTTCTTATATTTTATAACACTGATTCAATCATTTAATTCACATATCATTTACATTTAATAATAGTTTAAATGTCTAACAGTCGGTTATGCTGTTGCGATACGAGAGATGCATAATTAGTGAGCCAGAAGTGTATTATTAAATTGTAATTTATGTGCAATGGTATTTTCTTGTATATCAGACAGAAAACGAATGTTCCCAACACTCGACCACGCATTCATATGTCTGTTAACAAAGTAAAACCTTAATCAGTCCCAATTATACCTATCTATCTATCTTAGTTACGTAATGTGCTTGATACACGCTTAGGCGATATTTCGATACGTGACTGACGAGACAGATTTTTTCCTGCAGTAAGTTGCCATTTCTTTCTGCAGTAGACCAGTTGCCATTCAAGGCTACAGAACCCGGTCTGTCCTGCTATTTACCCATAGCTGGGGGAGAGAAGAAGAGGATTCATACCTTTCCCTCGGGTATTAGCACGTAAATGAATGTAATGGCTTCGACTGGAATTCGAACTTGGCTCTCTGATTCCTCAATCCGAGCCGCTATCCATTACTCCACCGTGTCTCCACCCATATAAACTCTTATTTGTAGCAGGCAGTCGTCCTGGTGATTAGAGGAGTGGATAAAACTGTTTCGCTTTCTGGCGAAAGGGTAGAGAGAACTGACCTCGAAGCTCTCTTTTACTGGGTTTATATTGAGGTCAATAAGTGATCGGAAAATAAAACGGGTAGTTCGGCATGATTCTAGAAGATCGGTGGTGGAACTGTACATAAAATACAGAGCATTTCAAAAACCAAAAAAGGTTTAAAAATTTGTGAATTATCTGTCGCTTGCTTATGTCTTGTTTTTAATGCATAATTGATATTTTTTATATAAAGTCGAATATAATGACAAAAAAGTAACTAATGACGATCATAGCCACACATAAACGAAAACAGAATATGCAAAAAAAATATAAAAAGTTCTGGGGATTTTCGACGTACAAGCGAACATTTGTTGCATATTGGAAATGAACACGATTTCCAAGGCAATAGCTAAAACATGCAAGAGAACAAATGGAACTCCGTAACGAACATCAGACGGAAACTCAAGGCCCATCTCGAGGTGATAATTGGGATAGACAAATACAATATTATTATAGTGAATGCTTCGTATTTGCAATAGACGTCCCGTTTTTATTTATTAGATATTAGCAATATCTGTTTTTCTTAAATAAAAATGGAGCGTCTATCTCAAATACGAAATATCCACTGTAATCTTATCTTATTATAAAACGCAGATTGTGTGTGTATGTGTGTGTCTGTACGTTTATATATTGGATCGGATTTCCTACATTTTTCAACCTATTTCAACAAAACTTCACAGGACTGCGTAAAATTACCTTGCAATTGTTTTTGGAAAATCAATTGTTTTTGAAGACACGAAAAAAAACACGATTCTGTCGCCAGAATGAAAGGGGGACAACTCATATCGAGTTATACTTATTATAAAACCCATATTTGTTTGTTGTTGTGTGTGTGTGTGTGTGTTCATTTATATATGGGATCGGATTTCCTACATTTTTCAACCGATTTCATCAAAACTTCACTTTTTTTTGGCAGGTAGTGTTTCTTATTATCTGGCACACTTTTTTCTTTATTTTTACATTCAGAATGCTTTAAAAATTCCATTTACAAGACGACTGTTTATAATAAAATTCCATTCAATCGATAGACTCATAACGTTTGAAAACAATGTTTTTGTTTGAGTTTGGGTTTGACCAATTCGTAAAAACCAAAAAAAAAAAAAACAAAAAAAAAAAAAAAAAAAACTAATTAAGACATGCGTGTCCGTCAATCTTAAACAATAATCTTTGTCAATTTTATTTTCCAGTCTTTATGATGGTCGATACTTGATCTATCTCTTACTGTTACATCCCCGGGCAACGCCGGGATCTCCTGCTAGTAATATAATAAAAAAGTAAGATTAAAAATGAATCCACAAAGTCAACATCTAACCCTGAAAGGACGTAAGGTTCACATGCGCAAATATTTAAATGACTACGTTGAAAAAAAGAAAAAGAAAGAAGACAAAAAAAAGAGAGAATAAAAAGAAAAAATTTGTTGATAAGATAAAATAAACTTTGAGAAAAATTATCAACCCTTTTGACTGTATAAATAAAAATAAATCTTGATAGAGATGTTATACGAGATCTGATGAAAATGTATTGGGTCTGGTGCTATAAAAAGAAAACTACAACACATATCAATTCGGCATTTAATCTCCTTCAAAGCAGTCCTCTTCTGAAGACACGCATTTTATTCAGCGTCGTTTCCAGTAAAGAAAAACATTCCTGGAACTTCTTTTTTGGGGATAGAGAGCAGCTGTCTTGGATTCCCTCGACATCTTAAAATCTTGTTCCTTTCGAGTGAGATTTGATTTTTGAAGAGGAAAAAATAGCAAGCGGCGAGACCCGAAGAATGTTGTGCTTGGCCCAAAACCCCGCTGCATACATCACTGATTGAATCTATGTAGTGTGCTGAGACGACCGCACTCTGCACACTTTTCTTCTAATCACTGCTGTTAAACAACGGAAGTGAGCGAGACCGTTAGTGTACGCGACAGAGTTCAAGATCAAACACACTAAGCGGTTTCACTCTGCATACTTTAGCTCCGTTACCATAGCAACAATCCCGATACATTTTTGATCAGACCTCTTATTAATATACAATAGAATATAATTATAATCGTATTAATATTATAGAATATAGAATATAATTACTAAAAATAACTAATGATAATTAAGCACTTTCCGATATAGAGTTACGCCCCTTTTGTTATAATTGACTTTTGCTGATATATTGTCAGAGTTGGAAAAACTTTTTTACGAGACGCGCGACCAAATAACGAAGGGCCCGTTATTGAACCCATTGAATTAATTAACTTGAAACAACAAGCGTTTCAAGATAAAACAATATCCATCCCTGTTCTAAAATGTCATTTAAAATAAAAGGAAATATTACATTTAAACATGATTTTGGGACCACATTTTAAATCTGAAGTCTGTTAACATCATCTTAATTACTAAAAGGCAGTTTATCTTTTTTTTTTTCCCTTCTTTCCAGGGTCGAGCAAAAATGGCTGAAGCTTTGAACACCGTCACGGTGTCAACCATCTCTGGTATCCAACTGACCGCTAGCACTTTATCCACTGTTTGCAAATACACTGAAGAGTGCGGCAGAGACGCACAGGTGAATTTATTTTTGGCAATTAATATTTAAAATATTTTAGCATCGGATAAATTTATGTATTATATATTTTTTAAATAAGAAGAGGTTATGAATTTAACCTTTTTTTAAAATTAATTTTTTAAAATTTTTTTTTAAATTTTATTTTTTATGAATGTTTTTGGGAACTAGTAATTCTGTCATTTAAAAAAAATTTGATAAACTTTTAATTCTTTCAAAAAAAGTTGATATTTTAAAAAAAAAGCGGCAGTCTCGAAAATTTATATAAAGGTTTTCTCTCTTTTTTTTGTGTGATATTC